AGAAAGATATAAGATATATATGAATTTACAAGGTAGGTTTCTGGTGACCACCTGCAGAGTCAGATATGGAAGAGTGCAAAAGGGCTGTCTACACAGAAGAATCCAGTCACAACTCAAAGGCCTGGAGCTCACTGTAGAGTCCTGTGCAGAAGCAAAGGGTCTGTGATGGAAGACTGAAGAGCCTGTGCTGGAAGCCAGGAGACTGATATCCAAGGCAAAGGCAAAGACCGGAGCTCCTCCAAAGAAACAGAAGCAAGCCTTCCTTCTTTCTTTTTATTTCATTATTTCCCTTTTTCATTGCACTTGGGCAACAAGACTGTTGGTTGGCACCACTCACACCTCAGCTAGGTCTTTCATCTTCAGTAAATCCATTTACTCAACTTCAGAATTATGCTGAGCCAATCAGTTGGGCCCTGTGTACTCAAGCTGACACAACAGTTAAGGACTACAGTCCCCCACTTGTCAACATGATAATCAGACACATTTCCTTAAACCATACTTAGTCTCAAGATACAAAGAAAAGTTCACAGTTATGCCTATGATGGTATATCTATCCTGTATACAGATGAAAATGCACTAATTTTCTGCCCAGAATAAAAGTCAAGTTTTTCTTTGGATGATGCTTGCTTCTAACATTTTATAACTTGAACTTTATAACATAGATTTATCAATACTTAAGAACCAGTATTAAGTCTATGAACCTTACGTTACATAGGAAGTATATTAGGAGATAATAGTGACAAATTATAGTCTTTGTTTCTGTAACTGATCCCACAGTTATAGCTGATATTTGTAATTACCTTCTCTTACTAGCCATTTTGTATTCCCTTGACTTTCAACAAGTACTTCAGCAGATCTTGTTCCATTCCCTGGAGAAGTGACCTATATCTTCATTCCTGATGGTTCTGGGTCATTTGTCATCCTGCCTGTATTGGGTTGTTACAGTTCCCCATTGACTTAATAATAGGACTTGATACTACTAAAAGGTGGCCTATGGGATCTCCTGGACTCCATGTACATTCTTTCTTTCCTCCAATATGATGTAAAGTACAATTTCCTCTTGATACTCTGGGTCAGGCCCCCCTGCCAACACCCTAACTCTCTTTTTAGCTTGTTTACTCCGAGGCCTAAGGAGCCCAAAATGACCAGGGAAAAGTCTTAGCTTTCAGTTCAATGGAATCATTGTAGTGCTTCCTGAAACAAGCCTTCTCCCCTCTAGAACTAAGATTTCTACCTCAGAAGAACATAAAGTCATGGGAATGGGAAGCAAAAATTTTGCTAATGGATCCCTAGAAAAAATGGTGAGTGGTACCATTCTTGCTTCCACCCCTTGATTCCTAGAGTTATGAATCCTGGCTGTAGGAGACACAGTACCATATAGTTGATTCAAAGCATATACAGCTTTTTAAAGAAACTTGCCCCAGCCATGCATTGCCACCTAGCTGGTGCTGTAGCTGAATCTTCACAAGACCATTTCACCTTTCTTGTCAGTCTACCTGCTCCTGGATGGTAAGGAACATGGTAAGAGCAGTGAGTTCCATGAATATGGAGCCATTGCCCTACTTCTTTGGGCATAAAATGTGTTCTTGGTCAGAGACCAAGTGATGGTGGGAGAAGCATTCTGTAAGTGCAAGGATGGTAGTTTTGCCAGAATAAGTATCTATGCAGTAAGGACAAAGTGCTGCCCTTTCATGATGGTTCAATATAGTCAAAGTGCCCCCAGGTCACAAGTAATCACCCATGTTGGGGTACCATATTGGAGATTAGTATTGGTCTCTGCTGCTGCTAGCATATTGGGCAGTAGTGGCCGTATCCGGGTCAGCCTTGGCAAGTGGGAGTCCATGTTACTGAGCCCATGCATAACCTCCATCTCTGCCACCATGGCCACTTTGTTCATGAGCCCTTTGGGCAATGATAGGAGTAGGTGAAGAAAAATGGTTGGCTGTCATAGAACAAGTCTTCTCCACTTGATTATTAAAATCCTGTTCAGGTGAGATCACTTTTTGTGAATGCTTGCACATTGTTTGCTCATGCAAACAGATCTATCCACATACCTCTTTCCCAGATATCATTGTCACCAATTTTCCAGTCATGTTCCTTCCAGGTCCCAGATCATCTGGCCAAACTTTGCCTACAGCACATGAATCAGTATGGGGTTGCACATCTGGCCATTTTTTTCTTCCAGGCAAAATGTACATTGTCTAAATTTCTGTCCAGTGAAGACTTCCCTTCACCACTGTTCCTTGAGGGAAGTCCTATAAAAAGGCTGTAATGCTGCAGCTATCCACTTGTGGGTGGTGCCTGCATACAGTGCAGAACCAACCATAAACCAGCTTCTGTATTTCACCTCTGTTAGCTGATCATATGGTACATTTCATGAGGCCATAGGTGCATGCTGGGGGTTGGAAGGCAGTATAGCAGGAGTAAGAACCACGGGCATCTGGGTAACATCTTCGTGTAACTTACCTGTGCCTTCTGGGCCTACTCTGGCTCAATTATATATGTACTATTTTCATTTAATAGTGGACTTCTATAATGCATTTCCAACTTTATGATTTGGTAGATCAGATAATACGCAGCTCATGAAGAGCAGCTCTGGATTCATGATAATCTGGTACCCCATGGTCAAACGTTCAATTTCCACTAAGGCCCAGTAGCAGGCCAAGGACTTTTTTCAAAGGGAGAGTAGTTGTCTGCAAATGTGTCTATGCATTTATTCTGCGATTCACCTATGGAGATCTGCCAGAGACTCTTAAACATAATCTCTGTCTGCCATTGACCCTTCAGTACCATTGGATTTGCTGGGTTATAAAGTCTCAGTGGCAGAAAAGCCTACACAGCAGCCTGGTCCTATTTTAGAACCTTCTCTTGTTCTAGACCCCCTCAAAACTAAAAGTTTACCAAGTCACTTGTAAATAGCCAAGAGTAACACCTAAATGAGGAATATGTTGCCTCTAAAATCCAAATGGGCCTTGTACCTTTTACTTGGTTGTAAGAAGAATCAGACATCACAACTTATCTTTCACTTTAGAAAGGATATTTCCCTGCATCCCCACACCACTGAACTCCTGTAAGTTTCACTAAGGTAAAGGGATCTTGAATATAGTTGGATTTATTTTTTGTCCTCTAGCTCACACGTGCTTTACTAACAACTCTAGAGTGGTTGCAACCTCTTGCTAACTTGATCCAGTTAGCATAATAGCATCGGTGTCATGGAGCGGTATGATACCTTGTGGGATAAAAAGGAAATTGATATTCTTATGAACTAAGTTGTGACACAGAGCTAGAGAGTTAATATAGCCTTGAGGTAAGAAGCAAAGGAATATTGCTGACCTTGTCAACTGAAAGCAGATTGTTTCTGATGGGCCTTATGGATCAGTATGGAGAAGAAGGCATTTGCCAAATCAATAGCTGCATACCGAGTGTCAAAAGATGTATTGATTTGCTCAAGCAAGGAAACCACATCTGATACAGCTGCAATTGGAGTCACCTTTTGATTCAGTTTATGGTAATCCACCATCATTCTTCAGGACCCGTCCATTTTCTGCATAAATTGTATGGCAGAATTAAATGGTGATATGGATATGGTAGGAACCACCATCTGTAATCTTTAAATCCCTTGATAGTGCACTAGTATCCTCCAGGGATATAATGCTGTTCTTGGTTTAGTATTTTAAATTTGACCTATTCAACCATATTGATCCTCACACTAAAGTTTAGAGAACCAATGTGATGATTCTGCCAAGTACTAAGTAGATCTACTCAAAGTATGCAATGGGGAACAGGGGAATAGCTACAGGATGCATTCAAGACACCCCCCCCCCGCAACTCACTGATTTGGACCTTTGCTAATACTCCATTGATCCGTGACCTCTATAGGCCCATCTCTTTTTTTTTTTTTTTTTTAAGAATAAAAGAGAGGGGCTGGGGATTTAGCCCAGCGGCATAAGCACCTGCCTTGCAAGCAGGCAGTCGTGAGTTCGATCCCCGGTACTGATAAAAAAGAAAAAAAAAAGACAAAAAAAATAAGTAAGAATAGAAGAGAACAGAACAAAGCAAATCAGAACAGGATAATGCAAGCAACACAGTACTTCCCAACAAGACAACCAGATGTCAACAGTAGCTACCATAATGTCTCTTTTCTTTGAAATACCTGTGAGCATACCTTCACACACAATAATATCAAACATAGCAAAATAGTATAAAACCATTCTAAAGAATGAAAATATTCAAAACCATATAATAGGAAATGAACAATGGCTGCTATAATACCTCATTTTCCTCAAAAAATTTGTCTATACCATCACACATAATAAAAATAAAACACAACAGGATAGAACCAGTCAAAACAGAAGAACAAAAGCATGGTAGGACTTCAAGACAATAGTAAATCAGCAATGACTACCACAATGTCTTGTTTTCTTCAAAATAACTGTTGATAGAGACAACGTTGATAACCATTGTTGATAACCTTGTACTCTGTTCTACATCATGTGCTATGTCTATCCTTGGTTTTGACTGACAGCTTTGTTTTGCCATATTTGACTTTATTCTCTCCCCCCCCCAAAAAGTAATAAGAACTAAGGAGTAATAAAATCCAAAATGTGTAAATTTTGTTGTAAAAAAGAGAGGGAGGAAAAAAAAAGAGCTCTAACGGATATAACAGCAAGTGTGTTTAGGGGTGTTAAATAGCTGACTATATTAATGTTTTTGGATCATTGAACACAGCTGTTTGCAGTCTCTCTGTTTGAATGTCCACTTTGTATTCTTTGATACTGTGATTTGAGCAACTATTTCCAAGATGATAATATGTAATATATTAACAGGTGATTTCTTACTGTTATGTTTTTTATTTTTTGTAGTTCTGTATTATGTGTAACCTTACACCGCTTTGTTTTGGTTTGTGTTTTTCTCTTTTTCCTCTTAAATAAAATTTAAAAAAAAATAACTGTTGATACCATCACACATAATAAAACAATAAAATCAATCAAACCAATGAATAATTGCTTTAAAGCAATATAATAGGAAACCATGATTACCATAATATATCCTATTATATTCAAAATAGCTGCCTCTACCATCTGACAGCATAAAATCTAACAAAACAAGGCAGAACAGAGCCAAGCCTAATAAAGTTGTATAAACAATGCAAGAGTTCAAGATAAGACAATAAGAAATTGACAGTGGTTTCCACCTTTCCTTCCCAGGTGTTTCCTCCCTTTGCTGTTACATGAACTATTTTGCTTTTGGATCCCATTAATTCCTTCTGTTTCTTATGGTAGGGTCACCCATGTGAGTTTGAACTGCTTCAGCCATGGACATGATCTCCAGTTGCATCCACTTATCTACAGAAGCCTTGAGGTTATTCTCCTTTATAGCTGGGTAGCTTTCTGCTGCATAAAAATACCATTTCTTATCCATTCTGCATTGATAGGCAAGTTACCCTCGCTATTTTTTTCCCGGCAATGCCCTCACCTTTATTTCAGATACCTTTCAAGGCTGGGCATTAAACTTACACTGTATTTCAGCCAGTCAAATTAGAGAGACCTATATTTATTTGGGTTTCTACACTTTTAGCCCCATGGCTTTAGCTTCTTTAGGAAAGAAGATTCCCTTTGAGGACACAGTAGAAACTTTTAGATTTTGTATGTATGTCTGGAGTTTTAGATTATGCATGTCTAGAGCTGAGTACTTGAATTTTTCAGCTGCTTATTTTTCTTTATTGTTTTGTCCTCACAAAAACCTCTAGCAAAAGAGAAAAGACCCAAAGAAAGCACTTCCCCCACCCCCCAAAAATGCTAAAAGAAATAAGAAAATTGAAATAACACTCCAGAAAATGGCTGTTTAGATGGCAATGAAGAAATGAACAAAAATGATATACATAAAACAGCAGAATTTAACTGGGCGTGGTGGCACATGCCTCTAATCCCAGCTCTCTCAGAGGCTAATGCAAGAGGATCTGCAAATCTGAACCTGCCCGTGGCAACTCAGTGATCTAGTGGAACCCTGTCTCAAAATTTTTAAAAAAGAGAAGGCTAAAGATGTAGCTCACTGTGAAGGCCCTGGGTTTAATCCCCAATACCCCTCTATCTTGACTCAGCAGAAATCTTACTTTGTCAGTAACTATTTGAAATGAATTAAATGTACCAGTAAAAAGGCAGCAGTTGTCAGTGGGTGACATGTCTCCAATCTGTGCTGTATACAGGAGACATTTTATGTTGAAGGATAAAAATACATTGATAGTGGAAGGATACAGTTAAGACATGCATACTAAACCGTAAAGTGTGGATTGGCAGGCCAGAGGTAGAGTGCAGTGATACAGAACCTGCCTGGCAAGCTCAAGGTTCTGAGTTTGATTCCCAGTACATTGTCTATTAGTATACAAACAAAATAGACTTTAAGCTAAAAGTGATAACTACAAACATACACAAGTGTGCATATAAACATGATTTATAGTAGTAGAAAAACAAACAATTTAAATGTCCATCAGCTGAAAAGTAGATAAAATGATATCTGTACATGAGATAGTTTTTCACAAAAAGTGCATACATAATATGAGTGAGGCTTGGGAATATTAAAGTCACAAAAGACTATTGTTTGATTCAATTTATGAGAAATTAAAATCTAGAGCAGAAAATTGCTTAGAACTTAGAATGTGAGAAGTGAGAATGAAGATTGCTAATGAAGCTCATTTTAAAGAAATAAAAGTATCCTAAAATTACATTGGTTTCTCTGCTGTGAGTATATTAAAAACATTGAACGATGGTGTGTTTTGTTTTGTTTTGTTGTCTTTTTCCTTTTAATCAGTACTGAGGATCGAACTCACGACTGCCTACTTGCAAGGCAGGCTCTTATGCCTGCTGAGCTAAATCCCCAGCCCCTGAACGATACTGTGTTTAAGTGAATGAGCTATTTGGTATGTGATTTCTATATGAATAATGCTGTTTAAAATACCCTCTGGAGTCATACTTGTCTACAAGGAAATAATATTTGAAAAATATAAGACTAAATAGCAAATCTGCTCATTTGTTCTTTAACAGTAAACTAAAAGCCAAGAGATAAAGTTCTAATGTTTGAACTCTCTTCCATATAATGATATTTAGATTAATAGAAAAGAATCAGTTCAAGAATAAATCCATGTATCTATTATCAATTCTTTTTTTTTTTTTTTTGGTATTGGGAATCGAACTAGGCAGGTGCTTATGCCGCTGAGCTAAATCCCCAGCCCCTATCAGTTCATTTTTGACACGATGTACCCTTCAAAGCCACACCCCCATGACCTACTTCTTCCACCTAATAATCCATTCTGCTAGAAAATCATCACTGGATCAGTGTGTTGATGAGATTAGTGTTGTCATAATCAGTCACCTCTCTAGGCCCCAGTTCTAATAATGTTGGGCATTAAGCCTCCAAATCATTACATTAGTCATTAGGGAAATACAAATCAAAACTACAGTGGGATGTCATTTCACACCAACCAGGATGGTTATAATAAGCCAGGCATGGAGGTGCATGCATATAATTCCAGCACTTGGGAGGCTGAGGCAGGAAGATCATTGCAAGCTCAAGGCTGCTAGCCTGAGTTTCACAGCATCTCAAAAAGAAAAAAAAACCTATATAATAAAGTTCACAAGTGTTGGCAAGAATATGGAAAAATTAGAGCCCTTACACTGTAGTGTTAGGAATGTAAAATGGTTTGGCCACTGTGGGCAACAATTTGGTGGATCTACTTTCATGTATCTGAGAAAGAGAAGGGAGAAAGAGAGAAATTAAAATGTGCTCAGACAAAAACTTTTATACCTAATGTTAATGGCAGTGCTATTCATGATAGCCAGATGTTGGAAATATGTACCCAGATGTTCAATAATGGATGAATAGATGAACAAAACGTGGTGTACGCACACACTCTTAGGAATGAAGCCCTGATACATGCTATGACATGGAGAAACCTAAGCAAAAGAAATGAGACAGAAGTCTATATTTTATGATTTAATTATATGAACTATTCAGGTAAGTGAAAGAGACAGAAGACTATATGATATAGTTTATATAAACTAGGTATGGTTGGCAGCAACTATGGGAGCCCTTTATTGGGCACAAGAATGTCATTTGGAACTTGAACAAGTATTTCTAAGATGACAATATGTAATTAGTGATTTCCTACTGTTTATTTTTTCCGAAATTCTGTACAACTTGTACCTTTTTTCTGTTTTTTTTTCTTTTTTCTCCTTAAATTAAAAAAAAAAAGAATGTCATTTGGGTGATGAAAGTGTTTTAAGACCAAGTAAAGGTTGACTGCACAATACTGTACTAAATGCTAGTGAATTGATGCTGGTAAATGGTTGATTTCATTATGTGAATTTCACCTCAGTATAAAAAAGGAGAACATAAGGCCATAGTTTGTCAGTCCCTCTCTAAGGTTTTTTCTTTCTTTTTTTAGTACAAAATTACAGGGCATGCAGTTTATAGTCATCTTAGGGGGTGGGTACATGTACATATGTAAGACAACTCATTTCTTTTTTTGAATTTCCCTCCCTCCTCCCTCCTTCCTACTTCCTCCTTTCTTCCTCTAGTAAGTTCTGTTTTATTCTTTTTTGTGTGTGCTGGGGATCAAACTCACAACCTTGTGCTTGCCAGGCCTGTGCTTGTACCACTGAGCTCTATCCCCAGCCCTTAGGCTTCTGTTTTAAGCAGCCTCTTTGCCACTCACTTGTTTAGCTTTTGCTCCAGGATAGGTGTCACTCACTTGAGTAGGGCCTCCCTTGCGTGTCCGTCTGGGTGAGGTAACAGTCTCTTTCCAGTTTGCTTGCTTGCCAGAAACTCTCACCATCTGTCCTGAAGGGAAGACTCTGTTTTCTATCATTTTGTTTATCCTTAGTTCCAAGTGCAGTGCCTAACTAAAGAAACGTGCGTTTGAAACCTTGCTTGCTATGATCTTCAACATGTCTTTACCAGCTTTGATGATGCCTTTGATTGCCAGACGCCCCATAAGATGAACTTCACAGAAACTGAGGTCTTAGAAGCAGATCACTGGCTGAGGCCTTCATGTGGCCTGTGAACCAAGAGTACCAGTCAGCTGGAGTCAGGTCTGCCGCCTTGAATGTAGGTGTTCACTGCTCTGCTGTTCTCTTGGCTTCAGTTTAGCAAATAGTACTGAAAATTTTCTCACAGTCTTTAAGGGAGCACAAGTCTTGTGCTTATGAATCTTATTTTTAAATATCCTTGTTCACTGAATGTGTTGGCATATGCCTGTAATCCCAGCACTTGAGAGGCTGAGGTAGGAGGATTGCTGCGAAGTTCAAACTAGCCTGAATTACATAGAGATACCCTATCTCAAAAAAACCAAAACTAAAATAAAATACTCTTGTTCATTCTTCAATTATAGTGCATACCACTTACCTGCAAATTACTCATTTCTCCCTAATCTTACCATGTGGCAACCATTAATCTACTTTCTCACCCTATAGATTTCCCTCTTCTGGGTTTGTCATAGGTAGAGTCAGACAATATGTGGTCTTCTGTGACTGATTTCTTTCCTTTGCCTAATGACTTTAGTGTATTCATAAGTCTGTATAATAGGGTAGCACTATATACTAGAAGAGTTTTGTTTTGTTTGGGTGGTACTGGAAATTTAATGCAGGACTTGACACTCTAGATTTCAGTTTTTTGAAACAAGGTCTTACTGTAGCCCTAAGCAGCCTCAGACTCTTGTTGTACACTGGTCTCCAGCTTGTGCTGCTTTTGCTCAACCTCACAAGTACTAAGATTGAAACAAAATATTTTTTTAAGGAAAGAAAGAAGTCATGTTTTTCTACTTTAAGGAAATATGAGTAGGTGGGAAATACAAAGGATACGAATTTTACGCACAGACTACTTAGGGGTCTGGTTGACAGAGATAAAGTTTGAATGTTGAGTTATAGGAGCTTGATTATGATGGTTTCATGTTCCATTTATTCCACAGTTTGAGCATTTGACATTGAGATTAATGTACTGGAATTCTTTGCTAGAAAATATAAATTTGAATTTTATTTAAAAATCTGTTTTTTATTAAATTGAATATTTGTATTTTTATTAAATTGAATATATGTTATGGACAAGCAGTTTTTGAAATTATCCTGTAACTCATTTTCCTTTTTTTTTTTTTTTTTTTTCCTTTTTATCGGTACCAGGGATTGAACTCACGACTGCCTGCTTGCAAGGCAGGCGCTTATGCTGCTGAGCTAAATCCCCAACCCCTCATTTTCCTAATTGAACTACTGTTGACATTTTGGAGTCTTTCCTCCCAAGACATTTTCTTTTTCTTTTCTTTGGTACCAAGGATCAGACTCATAACCTTGCATTTGCTAGACAGATGCTTTGCTGCTAAGCTATATCCCTGGCTCACCAAGACTTATTTTCTGTGATAAAATACACAAAGATTATATTTAACAAAGTAGGATCACGTGTCTTACCATTCTGTTGTATTGTTTATGTGTAACCATATTTTCTTTTTTAGAGGCAGTGTCTTACCATGTAGTTGAGGCTAACCTTGAACTTACTATGTACCCCATGCTGGCCTCAAAATTCATGGTGATCCTCCTCCTTCAGCCTCCCAAATGTTGGGATTATAGACATGCGCCAGCATACCCAGCCATATTTCCACATCAAACTCAGTTATCATGTGTTTTTGTTTTTGTTGTTGTTGTTATCATGTTTTAAGAATTGTTTCTTTTCCATTAATCACAAAATATCTTTTTATAGCAAAACCGTGTGGTTGGGGCAATGCAGCTCTACTCTGTGGAGAGGAAGGTCTCACAGCCCATAGAAGGTCATGCTGCAGCTTTTGCAGAGTTCAAAATGGAGGAGAATGCCAAACCCTCCACCCTTTTCTGCTTTGCTGTCCGCAGTCCTGCAGGAGGCAAGGTAAGGTCCACTTTGTCTTCTTCAAGGAATGGTCAGAGGATTCAGTGTCACAAGTGCAACTGAGAATGCAGGATAGCCTTCCAGCACCTATAGAAACAAGAGGTCCTGTGAGATTTAACACCCTTTTGTACATGGGAGTGGTTTGATAGCAACCTTGGTATAAAGTTAGTAAACTAAAGTCAACTATTCATTTGTTGAACACTTTCCCTATAAATCCTCTAAGACTATACTGGGATGGGCCATGGTGAAAAAGTGAGGCACAGTTTCTGATCTCAGGCATCAGCTTCATGGAGCAGATGGCTCTGAAATCATGGCGCGCTACCCTCTGTTCTAAGGCATGGCTTCTACACCACCCAAGGCATGGTTCTGCCCTTGTGGCAATAGGGTGGGAGTAGGGTGGTCTTAGAAAAGCTGCAGAAAGACAAGGCTGTATTTGAGAGCTAGTTGACTCTTAGTAGGCTCAGTCAGACCTTTTTGTCAAGACTTCCATGGACAGTGGTATACGGAGGTATATGAACTTCTGATGTTGGAGAGTCATAGTGTTCTGGTGGAATTTCATCAAACACTTAAGAGTTTCCTGGACTCTGTTCCTGACCTTTTCATCACAAGCAGATGCCTATCCAAAGTCATGCCCTTTATCACTTTCTGAGATCCCTGGCCTCTATTCCCTTACTTCCACTTTCATTGGTAAAATCACTGTCCTTATCTTTTAAGTAATAAATCTTGAGCTTTCTTCTTTTCCGTTGTCAGTGTCTCACCTTTAGCAAGTCTTACGCGTCTTACATGTGACTAAACCCTTAGGTGATAGCTTGATTTTACAGTGGCTATGTAGGTATGGATGTGCTGCTCTGTAAACATCTTCATATTCTAAAATATCCATTCAGGAAAAAAATAAAGCCAGGCATGGTGGTGCATGTCTGTAATCCCAGCACTCAGGAGGCTGAAGCAGGAGGATTGCAAGTGTAAGATCTGGGTACAAGTGAGTTCGTCTACCAGCTTAAATGACATAGCAAGACTCTGTCTCAAAACCAAAAAAATAAAAATATAATTACCACCGAGGGACCTTAGGTACAAGAAACTGCTACCTACAGTTTGCATCACCAACTCCCTCTATCCAAGACCTGTGATTCATTCAAACCCATTGAGAGATCTGGGACTTTGTGCAAAATTATATCCTCAGGCCTTCATTACCCTTTCTTACCAAGAGGCCTAACCAGTTTTCCTAAACTATCTTTTATCTTAAGGCAGTGATGGCAGACCATTTAGTCTGAGTGCCCAGACTATAACCTCAAACCCACTTTTTTTTTAAGTTAATATCTTGCTGTGTAGTTCAGGCTGACCTTACTATGTAGGCAAGATTGGCCTCAAACTTTCGATCTCTTGCTCTGTAGTCTGGGACAGCCTTACACTTCCTAAGTTGTCTGACCTGCCTCAGGATCCTCCTGCCTCAGCCTCCCAAATAGCCAACACAGCAGTTAAACCTGAATACTGAAGTTTTATTTTAGAAAAAGCAACTCATACATTAACATCATTTGCTTCAGTAGAAAGGCAATAACAGCTTTCAGGGATACAAACAGCTTTGTATTGATAGATAAAAGCTTGCAATTAGCATGCTTTTGGGCACTGTTATCTGATGCTTGACTGCTGGGGCAGCCACAGAGAGGTTCTGCATGCCTGCTGCAGCATGAGTGGCACAGGTTCCCCGCTGTCTTAAAGTGTCCATGTGTAGGAAGTTCACATCTCCATGTGACCCACAGTAGCCCCAGCATGGTGCCATGTCAGCCTCCCCTCCTAGCCCATTTTGCAGTTACAGCATGTCCTTGGTCCATCGCTACTCGTGACTTTTTCTGGAATATTTTTTTTGGTTTTGGGGGGTTTTTTTCCCCCCTTCTTGGTCTTACTTGATCTATGACATTTTTTTCTTCCCGTCAAATTTATGGGGAAGGCACTTTTGTAAACCAGTAACTTGGAGCCGTTCTGATGAAAGCAGGCAGGGTCCCCTCATCCTCAGTTATTCCTCAGCATTCCACAGAGATTCTTATATTCCCCAGCACAACCTTGAAGCACTTAGGGCTATGCCAGGGTCAGCTGGCCTGGCTCATGAGTTTGGCATTCAGTGAGGAGTCTTGTTGACTGAGTGGTTCTTGTTAGCCTGAGCTGTGTCTGGGAGATGAGAAAACAGAGCTGGAATAGGAGTAGTAACAGGCCCCAGTTGATGCTTTTGTTTCTGGGGAATCAGTGTCAGAGTCCACAGAACGGAATGTGACTCAGCCAGCCTTCCTGGAGCTGAACGTCCTCAGGTTTCCTGGCATTGGTTCTTTCTGTTGTGCCTGATGTATGGACCAGTTTTAGTGAATAATCACAAGCATCTCAGAAAAAGGATTGTCTTATTTTGTTATTGGTGGGAGCGTGTGTGTGTGTGTGTGTGTGTGTGTGTGTGTGTGTATGTGACACAGTCTCTTGTTCTATAGTCTAAGGTAGCATTACATTCCCTAAATTGTCTAGGCTGACCTGGAACTCGGGATCCTCCCAGCTCAGCCACTCAAGTGCTGATATTTCAGGAGAGAATCAACACTCCCAGTTTGTTTTATTTGAATGTAGGTTTTAGTGTTTGTCATACAGAGCCTGGAATTGAAGCTGCTTCATTCAACCACCATGCCTTGGTTAGCACTGTCTGCCACAGGACCATTAACTTGGATTGACCTTTAACCTTTTTTTTTAGTTGCACATAATCGAAGTTGGACAGCCTGCAGCAGGAAACCAGCCTTTTGTAAAGAAAACTGTGGATGTGTTTTTCCCTCCAGAGGCACAAACTGATTTTCCAGTGGCTATGCAGGTATGGATGTGCTGCTTTCTGAATACCTTAATATTCTCAAATATGTACCATAGCACCTTCTTAGGTACAGGAAGCTATCACCTGGAGGTCGCCTCACTGTCTCTCTCCATCTGAGATCTGTGATTCATACAAATCTATTTAGAGGTCTGGGACTTTGTGCAAGATTAGGAAAAGTCCTGCTTATCGAAGGGATTGCATGGGAAAAGCAGCATGAGACTCTTCTAGCTCATATACCAAAGTCCTGGACCTTTTCCCTTTTGTTATGAAAAGTTACATGATCTCTGTAGTGTAAGAATATACAAAGAAGAAAATAATCCTCGGTAGCCAGCCCATCCAAGTGCTTACTACTTTTTTTCTTTCTTTCTTTCTTTCTTTCTTTTTTTTTTTTTTTTTTTTTTTTTTTTTTTTTTTTTTGCTACTGGGAATCAAATTCACAATCTCATGCTTGCCAAGCAGGCACTGTGCCATTGAGCTATATGCCAGGCTCTAAAGTGCTTACTACTTATTATATAAGAATTTATTTTTTTAAATTTTGTTTAAGGAGAAAAAAAAGCAGAGAAAGGGTACAAGTTATACAGATTTACAGAAAAAAATAAACAGGAAGTCACTAATTAATGGATTACATATTGTCATCTTAGAAATAATTGTTCAAGTCACAAAATTAAAGCTTGTAAAGTGGACATTCCAACAGTGAGACTGCAAACAGTTCTGTTCAATGATCCAACAAAACTCAGTGATATCATTATCTATCTTATACACTTATATATACATGCAGTTATATCATTGAGAGCACTTTCTTTTCCTCTCTTTCGTACAATGACAATTACCCATTTTGGGTTTTGTTGCTCCCACAGTTCTTATTACTTTTTTGGAAGGGAGTAGAACCAAATGTGACATAACAGAACAGAGTCAATCAAATCAAAAGGGTGGACATAATAGATAATGTAAAAGCATAATACAAGGTGATCAACAATGGTTACCATAACGCCTCCCGCTATCTCTAGTAGAATTGCCTATATCATCAGTTATAATAAAATTGAACAAAACAGTAAAGAACAAAACCGACAAAACCAAAACAATGGAGACATTATAGGTCTTCAAAAGTAGATAATAGTCAACGAGAATGGGCGTTATAATGAATCTCACTATCTTCACAGCTGTTGCTTAAACTTTTGAACCTGGTACTATCAAGCAAAACAGAATAGGGGGACATCAGTCAAAAACAAGATGGTGAGAGTAATTCAGGGCTTTAAATCAAGATAATGGAAAGTCAAAGTGGGTTACTATAATATATCCTGCTATTTTTTATTTATTTTTCCCTTAATTAAAAGGATAAAAATAAAAAAGTAAATAATGAAGTGGAGATTGAGATAAAAGAGGGCATAACAGCAAAACAGCACAGATCAAAGCATAACCATTTAAACAGAATAGTGTTTCACCACAAGATAATCCTGACATAAAAGTAGTTACCATATTGTCTCTTTCCTTGAAATCTTAGCATCAAATATATCAAAACAATGTAAAACCATTTAAGAGAATGACAGCATTACAGGGTATTTAGAATCAACCAACAGAAAATGAACAATGGTTTCTGTATAATCTCCTTGTCTTTAAAAGTTTTTGCCTATACTATCATAGATAATAAGATCCAATAAGATACAACCTGTTTAGACCAATGGAGACAGAAGAACAAAAGCTTGATGAAACTTCAAAACAAGTTGATACTAAATCAGTATTACCTATTAAGACGTCATTTTCTCCAAAATAGCTGTTCCTATCATCCAATCTTCTCTGCCTCATTTCTGTTGAGCTCTTTTTCTGTCATTAGTTGTCAGTTTGTCTTCTTCATTTTGTTTTCTGCTCCATTTATTGTGGCCTCTCTGCCACTATTTCTGGATTCTTTGTATTTTTCTTTTTTAGAATATCCTGTAGTATTCTCTGTAGAGTTGAATTGGTGGTTGCATATTCCCCTAGTTCCTCTTTATCCTGGAAGCACCTTGTTTTTCCATCAATTTCCAGGGATAGTTGTGCAGGATATATCAATCTTGGCTGGAGATTATTATCTTTCAAAGCTTGAATTATTTCCCCCACACTCTTCGTGATTTGATGGTTTGTGCAGAGAAATCTGCTGTAATTCTGATGGGTGTTCCCTTGTAAGTGGTCTGTTTCTTGTCTCTGACAGCTTTTAATATTCTGTTCTTGTATTGAATTTCTGGAATTTTAATTATTATATGCCTGGGTGTTGCTCTGT